TCAAAGAATCCTGAAAAAAGTATCACAGGTTCCAAAAAAAAATAGTAAGCAGCAAAACTGTAATAAATCAGCATATTAGAATGATTTCTGAAGATCATGTGACACTGAAGACTGGAGTAATGATGCTGAAAATACAGCTGCGCATCACAGAAATAAATTACATTTTACAATATACTCACACAGAAAACACTTATTATAAATTGTAATAATATTTCACAATATTACAGTTTTTTCTGTATTTCTGATTGAATAAATGCAGCCTTGATGAGCAGAAGAGACGTCTTTAAAAATCGTAATTATTCCTAACTTCTGAATGCCAGTATAAGTAGTATTGCAAAACTGACACATTTCTTCCATTGCATTGTCATATCGCGTTCCATAACATGACCTTTGTCTTCACTTCGGTCTCCAGCTCTTGGATTATGTTTCGACAACAATTTTCTTCTCTGACAGAAACGTCGACAGCAATTTGATTGCCTGGAATCGTGTCGTGTTACTTCACGGTAAGACAGTAAAAGCTTGTTTGAAAGCTCAGCACTTTCTGTCTTCTGCCATGTTTATACAGTTGCGCGTCTTTCCTGACCCCTCAGGGCCGCCTGGCACAGGGAAGACGTCTCTGTGTAAAGGACTTGCCCAGAAACTCTCCATCAGACTGTCTGGCAGGTGTGACATCTTCATAAAAGCAGACAGGCAGCTGTAGAGCGTCCTGTGTCTATTTACCATTGTTTGTGCGTTTCCACCCTAAACAGGTATGCACACAGCCAGTTCGTGGAGATTAACAGCCACAGCCTCTTCTCCAAGTGGTTCTCAGAGGTCCGTCTGGATCCGTCTGCTCTGAAACGCTTCCTCAGATTCGTGTCTGAAACCTCATTGACATCTGACTGCTTTTACAGAGCGGGAAACTGGTCACAAAGATGTTTCAGAAGATTCAGGAGCTCATCGACGATAAAGACGCTCTGGTGTTTGTCCTGATAGACGAGGTTCTCTCTTTTTTACATCATTAATGTCCGCTCGTGTCTTTTGTTTTGTTTCATTTGACTCACTCTTGCTCAACAAAACCATTTAAACCAGTCGGTTTGTTGGCCAACAAACAGCTTTTCTCAATTAAATCTGGTCTTAACTGTTCAGACTGGTCTTAGACCACTTTAGACTGGTTTAGAAAAGCTATAAACCACGAGAACCCTTGCTTTACAGTGATATTACCTCCTCATTAACACTGTAATTCACATCCTCTAATGAATGATGATTTGATTATAAGTGAATCTGAATGATGTTTTATTGGTCGGTTGATTTCAATTCCAGTACATTTTTTCTAAAACAGCTTGGATATTTTGATATATTGATTTTTTTTTTCACCCTTTGGCATGTCTTTAGGAAGCCATTAATTGTAAAAATGTTGTTTAGGCAAAGTAATTTGGAAAATGGTGTTTTTGGTATTTAGTTCAAATCTTTGGAAATGTTATGTTTAAATATGCAAACGAGGCATTGTCTAATTAAATATGCACTAATTTGTGCATACATTTCTAGAACATTTTAGACAGGCTCTTTTTATCACTCTATAAACCACAAATTACTGTCAACAGCCAGAAAAAAATTCACCATGCTTATAGGAGTAAAACATATTTTTTAGATACAGTGAGTAAAAGTTTTAAATTAGCAACACATTTCAGCACTAAAAATGCAACCAGAAAGGATAGTCATGAAAAGTTCAGAAATTTTACTATTAGACCAATACTGTAATATTATTAAAGCATATGAAGAGTTAATTTGCAAAAACAGATAACTCCGTTTTTAACAATTTTCAAAAATCAAGTTTTTTCATTGTGCCAATTTTTCAATTAATCTCAATCAAACTGCAGTTGGGTTACTTTGATTAGGTTAAAAAATAACTAACAATTACAGCTAACTAACACAATAAAACACAATAAAAACATGATTACATAATAAAAAACATGATTTTTGAAAATGTAAAAAAAAAAGAGTTATCTGTTTTTGCAAATAAACTCTTCATATTTTAAATAGAATATAGTAATTTCAATGCCACTTAATTTAATACAAAAAACTAATTATAATTTGGTCTCAAATTTATGTACGTTCAAAAAAATCAGTAAACCTGTAAACCTTTTCCCATCACTAGACATATATAGAAGTCAAATAATAATATTTAAATCAATTAAAAATATATAATACATAAAAATATGTAATACTTAATACTTACTTAGATAAATATATCCCAAAAGGTGACTTGAGCAAGCTGTGGCATATAATATGCATTGTTCCCCCCCCCACAAAATCTGTTGTTGTGATAAGTTTGAGTGTCTGTTGCTGTTTTTACCCATATTTAGTGAAAGTACACAAACATTGCAGGTCTCTGAGGGTTAATGATGTGTGTTCGTCAGGTGGAGAGTCTCACAGCCGCGCAGAGCGCCGCTCAAGCAGGCACAGAGCCGTCTGACGCTATTAGGGTGGTCAATTCAGTTCTGACCCAGCTCGACCAGATCAAACGGTCAGTTTCTCTTCATCTGTCCCACACGGCTCACTTTCATCTACAAAGGCATGCTTGAAATCAGAACGACTATTTGCTGAATGCACGTCCCTGCTCTTCTTGTGCATGATTTGTGGTCTTTCATCAAAATATAATAACCTGCTCCAGCATTTTTCCCTTCTTGCCCTGCTTTTTATGCAACTGAATAACCTGTTGCATGTTGAAATATGTCAAATATGTAACTAAAATTCATTCGTAATTAGGGTTGCAAAAAAAAAACTTTCCAAAAATCCCTGGAATATTCCAAAAAATCCTGGAAAGTTTCCAAAATTTACTGGAAATTTTCCACCTTTTTGCAACCCTATTCGTAATCATGCAAACCTTGCGTTTTCCTCATTCAGGCACCCAAATGTTGTCATCCTCACCACATCCAACGTCACAGAAAAGATCGATCTGGCCTTTGTGGACAGAGCTGATATAAAGCAGTACATCGGCCCCCCGAGTGCCAGCGCCATCTTCAACATCTATCTGTCCTGTCTGGAGGAACTCATGAAGGTGAGCTCGTTTCCTTGAACCATTGAACATCTCTGTTCTTCTGCCGAACACAACAGTATCTATCTGAACCTTCCCTGCAGCATCAGATCATCTACCCCAGACAGCAGCTGCTGAGTTTGGAGGAACTGGGCACCATGAACTTCATGGAGAGCGACGTGACCCGTCTGAGCTTAACGCTGAGGAACATCGCCCAGTGAGTGTTTGCTTATGACGTAGCTAGTACTGAAAGTCTCAGAGAATGGATCTTCACGAGTGTCTCTTTCTGCACAGGAGGAGTGTGGGACTCAGTGGAAGAGCTTTGAGGAAAATCCCATTTCTGGCTCATGCGCTCTATGGAAAGGTACTCGTGTTGTGTGATTTTTACCACAAATAAACTGTATTTTTAGCCTTAAGGCTAAAACTGCTTATTGCTGTGATGAAAGGATGGCAACAGCATTTTTTGCATTGACATTTGTGACCCTGGAGCACAAAAGCAGTCTTAAGTCGCTGGTCAGATTTATACATAAATAAATGAGATTTCCATTGATGTATGGTTTGTTAAGATAGGACAATATTTGGCCGAGATACAGCTATTTGAAAATCTGGAATCAAAGATGATTTTCTCAATATTTAGATTTTTTTGCACAACCTAAGATTCCAGATTTTCATATAGTTGTATCTCAGCCAAATATTGTCTGATCCTAACAAACCATACATCAATGGAAAGCATAGATCATCTTTCAGATGATGTATAAATCTCAATTTCGAAAAATTGACACTTAAGACTGGTTTTGTACTCCAGGGTCACATTTAGTCAACTTGCGTTGCTTATTTCAAAAGGTAACTCAGATATTTTCTTGTAAATTAAAAAAAAAGTCTTACTTTACCAGTTACTTGAAAAAAGTAATCTGATTACGTAACTCATTTTACTTGTAATGCGTAACACTGGTAATAATATTAATATTAGGCATCATCTAATTAAATATACACTAATTTGCATACATTTCCAGAACAGAAACCCGAAATAAGCCAGGTTCAAAATTATATTAGAATTAAAGATTTTTTAATATCTATTTTTTATCACTCCATAAATCAGAAAATACTGTCAAAACAAAAGCCAAAAAAATTCATTTTAATTTTAGAAATAAAATGCTGTATGAATCAGGCGAATGATATATAAACAAACCCATCTATAAAAACCTTTAGAATAAAGATAATAATAAAACTGATTTATGTTGAAGATATATGTTGTGATTGAAATCTACAGACACAAACAGATGCAATAAAATAAACACTTAAATGTGTATTTTAGATGTTTTCTTTCCACTAGTCTGAAATAAGACGTGTTACGGAAGCAAAATCTCAAAACTGTCCAGTGAATGAGAAAACAGTGGAGCATTTTGTGCATCACAAATTTTAGAGTTGTAGACAACAGAGTTTGAATATGCAGTTTAGTCTTTGTTTGTTGTAATCACGTCTCCTCTTCTGTCTCCAGTCCTCCACAATGACAGTCGAGGGTTTTCTGAAAGCGATGGAGTGCGCCGTAGACAAACAGAGACAGGAACAGGCGAGTTTGATCAACTGTGTTTGAGCGACTGATGTTCTGCTGTTGTATCAAAACGGTTTCTTCTTGTTTTGTTAATTCAGTATGTCTGGTCCATTCACCAGCTTCATCCTAGAACAAGCCAGTGTTGTTTTATTTCACGTTTGAGAGTTTAAAACAGCACTTATCATCTGCTAGGTAACATTTTTGATATTCATAAGCTGAAGTTTTGGTGTCCTAAATCCGACTTTGAAATATGCAGTGTAGCAGCTGCTATGTGCATATGAATAAAATAATGTTATTTTTTTATGTTCAGCTTTTATATATGTATATATTTAAATAATTTAATTAAAATTAGGGGAAAAAAATCACTTCTTTTGGTTCTTTTTTTTCTGAATTGGACATAAAATGTTTTAGTCTAATCTAATTTATACATTGCAACCAGTAGGTGGCATAATGGTGCTACTGCAGGAAAAACAGCATGCATGAATGCAAGAAATGCCTCTGATAGATATTACCAGATGCACAATCACTCAGACAGCTATTCTTACTTTTATTAGAAACTATTTGAAAACCAAACCAGGTTTGTGTGCTAACAGCCTTTATTCACATTGCTTTCAGTTTTGATTTAGTTTTCAAATCCAGTCTTTAGGACTGACGTCCACATTGTCATTATGCAAGAGGTTTGTACAAATCAGATTTCATGGTTTATTTTTTATTATAATTTGCATTTTTTATGGCTGTCTGAGCAAAATCTGCCTGAACATGCAGGGTTTCTGTGGGTCTTAAGTCTTAATTCTCCCTTCCACAATCGAAGGCCTTAAAAGCTCTTAAATCAGAGCAGAAAGTCTTAAATTCAGATTCATGGCATTGAATGTTGCATGCACTGCAAACAAACTTCCTCAGTATTTTTGTTTTCAAGTACAAATATGTAAACATCCTTAAATCAAGACGCATTTACTTGAGACACAAAAAGAAGAAATTAAGTGTTATTTTCTGAGAAATTGAACAAAATGAAGTGAGTTTATGCTTAAAACGAGAACAAACATCTGTCAGTGGGGTATGAAAATGTATTTTTCATTTGATTTAAGTTTATTGTTCTGAGCCCATTGGTAGATATTTGTTCTTGTTTCAATCATAAACTCATTTTGATAAATTTCTCAGAAAACAAGACTGCGTATGTTATTTTGCTTCTCAAGTGAATGCATCTTGATTTAACAATCTTTAGACATTTTCAGATTTCAACCAAGACACAAATTCAGAGGAAGAACATGCATTTTTTTGCAGTGTGATTCAAAGTTATTTCCATATTCTAGTGTTTGGGAGCAAAGGTATTCAAACCTTAAGCTATTTTGTGTAAAAATGAATTAAAAAGTAATAGATATCAGTTCAAAGTTGTATTTTTAAACTTGAAATGTTTGCTAATACAACTCATTGTGTGATATTTACATCTAGAGACCATATCGATGTATTGTGTTGTTAAAAAGGTCTTAAATTTAAAAGGCTTAAATTGACCTTCATAAAACCTGCAGAAACCCTGAAACCGATTGTTTTGTGTCATTTCAAAGAGATTAAAGTTATAAAACACAAACTAAAATGCATAGCATTTCATTCTCCCACATGTGCATTCATTCAGAGTCAGCTTTCTCACATGTAGTTTGACCTTTCGTCGTTTAGAAACCAGTTTGACACCATATTTAAAGCGGCCTGCTTTGATGTGCTGTTTGGAAAGATTCGAGTTGTGAGAATTTGTTTTATGCGAATCCCATAATCACAAAGAGCTGCTTGATGTGTATCATCACCCGCCGATACCGGATCAAACAGGTAAACACCTGCGAGCCATCATTGTGCAGGTATCTGTAGCGCATTCTTCTGATATGATGTGAGATTAAACCGTGTCAGGCTGCAGACCAGATAAACAAACCCATAATTGCAATGTCTGCAGGCTTTTTTCTCTTCCTGACAGTTCCTCGTCCAAAAACACACAGCTGTTTGAATCTAATCAGAAAAAACATCGTCAAAAGCCTTATTGTTGCAGTGTTTTATACCGCTTTTGTGGTTGGAAACTGCCAGTGAGTTCCTAAACAAAGCAAACACTATAATGCTGCAGAATTTCTCGGGGGTTCTGGCCTCAAGCGCTGGAATATCAATAGAGCTGCCAATAGTAATACATTAGTTGAAGAGTTAATAACATGAGACATTTAAGGCTGTTCAGTAGGACTGCAGAGAGATACATGAGCTTTTGTTTGAAATAAAAGAATGATTTATGCTGCTTATTGGCAAATCAGTATTGCAAATCTCTCCCCTCTTTAAGTATTGCAACAGATCTTTTCCACACGTGCAAATGCAATATGCTTTCATCTCGTTTTTCTTTTTCTTTTTTGTCTTTCTCAAACTAATTGATAATGAAAAATGTTCCTGTGGGGATCGTGCATGTTTGAATTACCAACTAGTTTTTTGCATTTTCTGAAGAAAGTGGTTGCTGTCTGGCTTAAGTGAAAAAAATCTTTCTTTTTTATTAACCAAGATATTAAAATTTTGCTTAACTTATTAAAAAGAACACATTTAAAATTCACTTTAAGCATACAAGCTATTTTGTTTTTAGTGTTTATTTGTTTTCTTTGTTTTTTTTAAAGAACATACAATGTAAAAAAATTCAAAGTTGTACATAAAACAGATTATTAGAGTATGTTTTACTTAAAAAAAAAAACGTTTAATTCAATATGTTACTATTTCTTTGTAACTGTTAGTGAAATTTACTAGTAATTTCTAAGTGAAAATTGTTTCTACTTGTTTCTAGATTTATAATATCAGCCATTTCTTGGTTATTAGCCTTAATGTAAAAATTATTATTTATCGGCTGATATTTAATTCTAAATAAAAACTATTTACTTTAGTTTTTAGAGTGTATTAATTTTCTTTAAGTAGTATACATTTATATTATTGGCCATTTATCAGTTATTGGCCTTACTATTATTTATTGGCCGATATTTAATGTTTAATACGAAATAAAAACTAATTCAGTTTTTAGAATGTATCAATTTTCTTTATATAGTCGATTTACAATAATGGCCATTTATTGATTATTGGCCTTAATTTTAAAATTATTATTTATTGGCTGATATTTATTATTTAATTTGAAATAAAAATTGTTTATTTTAGTTTTTGGTGTATCAATTTTCTTTAAGTAGCATAGATTTATAATATCGGCCATTTATCGGTGATTAGCCTTAATGTGAAAATGATTATTTAGTGGCCGATATTTATTATTTAATTCAAATAAATATATTTACTTTAGTTTTTAGAGTATCAATTTTCTTTAAGTAGTATAGATTTATAATATCGGCCATTTATCGGTAATTGGCCATAAACAGGAAAATACTAATTATAGTAGTTTAATACCATTTAGTATTTAAAAATCAGCCTTTTCTGTCCCAATCACAAAGGGATTATTCAGCTGTTGTTTCTAGTATCATATGTCAGTGTGAAACAAGTTCAGCTTCTCAGATAGCAACATTCTGATGCTGAAATCCTTGGGTTCAGGTCTGGTGTCATGTGCGTTGCTTCGGATGCATCTGCTGAATGACTAACATGCTAAATGTGACGATACCATCAGGAAAGAGAAAGACGCAACCATAGAGGAGCCGGCTTTGGATTTCAGCATCTGTGTAACTCATCAGAGACGTTAAACCACAAGCTGCCACGGGTTGAGAGTTTGTAAAGTCCCAGAGACGAATATGTGGAACAACATCACAAGCATGCTGAGGAGAGAGAGTAATAACAGAGTTTCAGTTGAGCTGTCATCAAGTGGGCGATTACATGTCATCAGCGGCGCCTGAAGAGTGATGATCTTTCCATTGTACTGCCTTCAAATCTGAATTAGCATTTTTGTTCTGAATTTTCTCATTGCATCAAGTGCAACATAATTAGTCATGTCAATCTTCCACTGTAAGTACACTAGATGCTTTCCTGAGGTTGTGCTGGTGTTTAGAGAGCTCCAAAAGTTGGAAAAATGCATCATCAAACACTCATTTAGAGATTTTTACTTTTTGTAGAGAAAATGTGTGTTGTTTGAAAATTCTAAAATTGAAAATTGTTTGAAAGTGTAGATGTTGCTCAGATCCCTCTGTCAGTGTAAGAAAAGTACAATCGGCAAATGTTGCATTTTGATTGATACACCAAAGTTAAATACTTGGTGTAATAAGTTCTTACCAAACACCTACAATGACCCCAAAAATTGTTCAGACATGCAAGTAATTTGAATCTAAATGCTCTTGCTTTTAGGGAAAATATGAGACAAATGCTGCAGGACCTTTTCTCTTCACTAACATCACTTTTATTCATCATTTTGCTCGGTGTGTTTGAATCCAGTGATTTTTAATGGATGTTTGAAGTCAGTTCTCCTCAAGTGTCTGTCAAGCAGAGGAACTGCCGGTATACTGTAAGAACTGAGGGCCTGTTTACACCTGGTCACTCAATGCGTTTTCTCTGATCGAATAGCTATCTGATTTGTTAAAACAGTTCTATTTACACTTGATTATGTGTTGTTGAGCGTCTGCGACTTACTTTCAGTTTCATTTGCGGCAGTTTGCCAAAGACTAGATATATACCAAAGACGGTGCATTCAATGGAAGCCCGTTTCCACCACTGAATAAAAAAATAAAAAAAGGTAATTGCGAATGCATTCATTCTATTTATTTTGTTTTGTTTTATTCATTCATTCTTTAGTTTGTTCATTCATTCATTATTTTTAATTTATTTTATTCATTCATTCATGCAATTTCAATCTATTTTTTGTTTGTTTATTCATTCAATCATTTTATTTCATTTAGTTTATTTTATTACACTTTATCTATTTGAGTCTGTAGATTTTATGATACTGTGGGTAAAAAAAAACTTACACCAAACTTTACAAATGTATTGCAATTTACAGAGCAGTTTGTTGATATATATTTAACATTTTATGTTGTAGTATTTTCTGATTGATGCAGTTATAAAAAGAGGTATTCAAAATCCCCTCTATAAAATCCACTGAATAAAAAAAATAA